GAGCTTGGCAAGTAAATACAGAACTCCCGCAATTCAACAGAGACATTGGGATTGTAACAAAAAACATATTTCTCAGCTTCAGCTGACTCTTTGAAGGTTGATTGAACTTTGCCTTTGCCTTTCATAGTCAGAATCTAAAAAGTTCTTCTTTTAAAACACTGCAGAATTTTCCTCCTGCAGGATACAGCAAGAAGAGCCAATTGGAGTTATATGCCAATATGTTTTGTACACTTGGAGATTAATTTCAATCCAACCTACAATTCATCCAAATCACGACCAACTGAAACCCAAAATGACTGATTATTTTTATTTTGGTTTGTGATTCTGAGTTCTGCCCGTAGCACCAAAAAAATGAAATGATTGATGGGAAAATAGCAGACTGATGGCTAGTGGACAGTCACTAAATGTTAATTTTATCCACAGATCAAGTAAGAAATGAGAAATAAAGACAAAAAAGGAGGAGCAGTAAAAAAATTTATACATTACATATTTAATAGATTTATAATATATATACAGAGAGATTTTACTGCTCTTTCTTGTTTTCCCCTCTATTGGTTACTTTTACTCACTTGGTCTGTGACCCAAATGGTGGGAAAATGCTCTTATCAGTGTACGGCAAAATATATACATAAAAATATTTATATTATGTATACATTTTTCACTACAATGATTGGTCCATTTTTAGGCTCTTTTGGTTTGTCTTAGTAATTTCCTAAATCAGGTTTTTGGAACCAAAATTCTAATGAGCTAATCTAACATATGGGCAAAATTTGGCATTATGTAAAAAAATTTTTTTTTTACAATAAATGGTTTGCCGAACTTAATACTCTCGCTGTGCATAAGGCTAATGTTTTGTGTCATAGTCAATCATAGAACTATAGCCAAGAATATTGCAGTTATAGCTAGGCTTACCAGATCCACCATGTTTTCCAAGATACCAATCATTTCTTCATGTTTAAAGGCAGCCCAAGAAAAGTACTTCCCTGCTTTATATAGAATATATACACTGCAGGATCCCTCATTGATTAATGATGTGATTTCCCTTCTGCAGAGTTCTGATTCTGAATAATGTTGGACAGCACAGGCCGTGTGCTGTCCATCAAGAGATTTCAGAACCACCATGTTTTCCATGACTCATATTACTTTTATAAACCTTTGTTACTTATATAAGTAATATAAGTCATGAAAAAATGGTGAATCTGAAATCTATAGTTACAGGGGAGATGTGGTGGCCTAAACCAGGAGTTTCCCCACAATGTAAAGCGATAAACAATATTACAAATGAACAGAGGTACACTTTAATTTTTTGGGTATGAGTGGATGTGTGGCCAGGGACTGAACTGAGAAATTGTAGCTGACTTACTAATAATTACACTTGTGCATGGTGAAAAGATTTGTTTTGGACAGACCGCTTCATTTAAAAATGGAAATAAAAAAATCCAGGAAATCCAATTTTAGGCCATACAGCAGTTGAACTCATACGAATTTCTTTAAGAAAGAAAGATTTGGTAAAAAGTATCAGACAAACCAAAAGGGCCAAATAAGTTCATAAATATTAAAGTTTCTGCCATTTGCTTAAAAAAAAATCAAGATAGAAAAAGCAAACAGTAGAGGGAAAAAGGAGCAGTTATATATACATACATATATATAACAAGAGGAAAGTGCACTCGCAGTACTCAATAAATGAATCTTCAAAAAAAATTAATTGTGCAATTTGATACACCAAAAGAATGTCAACGTTTCAGTCGTTGGTGGCCTTTTTTTCAAGACCTGTATATAATTGCTCCTCCTCTTTTTACCTATATTGTTTGCTTTTTTAACTTGATCTGTGAAGCAAATGGCACAAACATGGGCCTATCAGTGTAATATATATATACATACTATGTATAAAATATATTATTTATAAAAATATAAATATAGATTTATTTTTTTTTTACTCCTTTTTCCCTCAACTGATCTGATTAAAATCAACAATTAGTGTCTGTTCAATAAATATCAATCAACTTTTTTCCCATCAATCATCTTTTTCTTTTTTTTTTTATGCCATGAGCGGAATTCCGAGTCACAATTCAAGAAGGATTAAAAGAACATGCTCGTCCATTGTGCAATTCTTTTGGTTTGTGATTTGGCTACATTTCTGTTTGTATTTTCGGGCATTCATATGGTCACCTGATCCAACTAAATTTGGATAAATTGCTGTTCATAACAAAACAAATGCTAAATTCTACTAATGGTATTGTATGCAACTAAATTCAAATTTTGAACAAGAAGGGTGATATTTAACCCCTTAAGGACACATGACATGTCTGGCATGTCATGATTCCCTTTATTCCAGAAGTTTGGTCCTTAAGGGGTTAAAAAGACAACTTTTTTAAACACATTTTTTAAAGGCACATAACTGTGAGTATTATTGCAGTTATTCACTTTTAGACACACCAACATTATGGAGCTTGTAGAAAAGAGGAATATTAGGATAGCAGAGCAGAACAGAAGAATATGGACTAAAATTTGGTAGTGTCTCTCCTAAATAGGGACACATGGATGAACACTTAAAATGATTTAATATAATGAAAAATATTTGTAAAAAATTATATTTTAATATTTTTTGATATATTGTATGTCTTATATGTATTGGTATTTTAATATGCCAAACAAAGTATTTGAAAAGTTTATCCAAAAATATTAAAGCATTTGGAAAGTTTATCCAACAATATTTATTTTTATTTTATTTATTACTGGTATTTATAAAGCACCCACAGATGGTGATTTGGTGAGGAAAAAATGCAGAGTTTCACTACCACTGTTCCTGTGAGTATGAGTGTGAGGTGAGGCCTGAAGAACAGAGATGCAGATAGAACAGTTATATGAAGGTATTTACAGCCAGGAGGAGCATAGGAAAAAGTGGGGGGAGGGTAGAATAGCCATGTGTTGTATACAATTGAAAAGTTTAGCAACCAAACTCTATCACCCAAAACATTAACTGTGTACATGACATATTGGTCAGAAAAATTAAATGATAATGATACAAACTGCATGCACAGAAAATTACAGTGGCTAACTACAGGTAAAATATGAAATCAATGCCTAAATATGAACTATTTGTAAAAGTTTTCCAAACTTTCTATTGCTCCTTCCAATTTTTGGCCAAAAATTTTAAATTTCTTTGGTAAATGAACAGATCCGTTTGAGAACCAAATGCAGTGCAGACTCTAAGCACTGTTTCTGATCAGTACTGATGTACTTTTTTTTTTAGGAAGATATTTAATACAAACCTGCATCTCTGATTTGAAGAGGAAGTCCAAATTCGGAAATACATTGAACAAAATTATAAACGCAACACGTTTTTGCCAGCATTTTTCATGAGTTGAACTCAAAGATCTAAGACTTTTTCTATGTACACAAAAGGCCTATATCTCTCAAATATTGTTCACAAATCTGTCTAAATCTGTGTTAGTGAGCACTTCTTCTTTGCCAAGATAATTCATCCACCTCACAGGTGTGACATATCAAGATGATGATTAGACAGCATGATTATTGCACAGGTGTGCCTTAGGCTGGCCACAATAAAGGGCTACTCTAAAATGTGAACTCTTTGAAAAAGCCTTCTGTATAGGTGAAATGCATTAGTGTATTACTTACTTTTCTTTTATTTGTTTAATAAAATTAATCTGCATTGTACCCCTGGATCTTCATTGGACATCTTTTATTGGAGAAGCTGTATCTCACTATCCCGGGTGGGGAACAAACCACCTATGCTGTAAAGGACTGAGCTCATCTTTGCTCATCCATTGTGAGTATATTTCTCTCTTTTTTTTAATTCATTTTATTAATACAGAGAACACTATTCCTGTTCTTTTATATCCTATATTTATATATAACTGGAGCATCATCTAGAATACACCACGTGGATTATAGGCACAGGGATACAATACCATAGGAAATCAGGACCATCCTAACATCCACAGACGGGGATTGTACCGTCCATACGCTGTGATCTGGAGCTGATTTTGAGCTCCAGAAAAGTGTGAATGCAATATATTTTTTCCTTATATTCTGCCTCTGCTGTTATAGACATAATACATTATATTAAATCAAGAGAGAGAGTAAGCACTAAATAACAAAATTGGGCTGCAGCCCTTTAAGGGAATCCCTCATGAACCCTTAAAGTACAACAGGAATAAACACAGAGATAAGGGCTGCGCAAAATAGACCAATGGAATAAATGACAATGATATATAAAATAGAGAAATAAAGTAAACAGAGTGCAGGTCAAGAGTACGGATACAAGTCAAGGGCTCATGAGCTGCACCACTGTAACCACCTAATAGGGAGCTCCAATGAGGGGGTAACCCTCCAAAATATGTAGTTAATAGGAGTAGGTGATGTGTAGAGTCCCACAAGGGGAAACTAACATCAGGAGTGCTCCACTGTATAAGAAATGAGGAAGGGAGGCCCTACCTTTAATCAATCTAAGGATAAAAAGGGATATTAAAACAAAAAGTATAACTTGGAAAAAAGGGAGATCTACTAAACAGTGATCAATTGTCTGGAGTACTAGCTAGCATCTAAGTTCCAGTTCCCATAGTGTCCGAATGACAGGAAGGTAATATAAACGAGGTTAGGGAGAGAGAAGAGGCACAGGGTCCCCAGAGAACAAGGGACCAGGTAATCAGGTCTACACGCAGATGAAAAGCCTCACACTAAAAATAAATAAATGAATAAATCTCTCAATTCACCCTAAAAGTTATCTCAACACTGTGGTCTAACCACTAGTGTCTACCTGCACCAACTCTCCCTACTAAAGTTATAAATAAATAAACACCTAAAAATCAATAACTACAGTGGTAGCAAAAATAAAAAAGTGCTACCAAGTGCAGATATTAAGGAAAAAAGAAAATGCTTGACGCACATTTCGGCATTTTCAAAACACCGTCGCCAGGAGCCTGTGAACATGAGCAGCTTGTTGTTCCATTTAAATACCTATTGCTGATGAAATATGGCCATCATCTGTTCAATGTGAGAGGTCCTAAGAGGCGAAGTATCTAAACTCTATTCTGCAGTCTACCAGGGGTGTGGCATGTTGTCATATATTCTACATCTCAAAAACATAGTGAAGACACACCCTGCCAATGACATAGCTTAGCTGGCAAAATCCCTGACCACAAAGCCTGCTAAAAAAAGGTTCAAATCCCAGCAGGGCTAACCCAACACCCCATCCATCAAAGGTCAGCAAAACAAGCTCCATCAATGGGGCAACATTAACATATACTACTAGTCAGCTCCAATACTTGAAGAATGTCCTGAGTCCCATTAGGAGAAAGGTGCCACATAAATCCATGTTATTATTATTTATTTAACCTTTTAACCCCTGTCCTGACCTATAGAGTGGAGCCAGGCGGAGCGTAACATACCATCTGGTATTGGCGTTTACGTGACTGTTACGTAAGTTGTACAGCCCTTTTTTTAAAAGCCACACTGCAGTATAACTATTCTACTTTTATATTTCCTTTTACTATAATACTATTTGCAATTTTCATTTCAGTACAGCGCATTTATGAATGTGCACTAGCCAAATTTGACCTTAATAGCAAAATGATCTTGTGACGAAGTGCCCTTCGCCACTTGGTCCTGGAGAGGCCTACTTGCCAGTCTCCTCCCCTGTGACTATGACTCTTTCATGTATCTGGCTTTAAAGCCCCTAGTCTACCTTCAGACAGACTATTTATGTAGGCTGCTGTATTTATCTTATGTTTTAGTCACCCTGTACCCATTATAGGTGCAGGGTGTGTGTAATGTAATTGTTTATAGTGTGTGTGTGTACTGTGTAATGTATTGCCTGCTCTCTTGTACTGCTGAGGTTTGCTACCAACTAGGTGGGTTTGGCTATGGAGCTTGTCTAGTGCCCTCTGTTAGTAGCAACAGCAATATGCACTACCTAAATAGCAAGATTGGTTCATTTGCATATTTGGGTAGATTTGCATATTGCTAATTCTGCAGACACGTGAGATATTTTCTGTTAAATATTGTCCCCCCCACCCCTTTAAAAAGGTGCCATTGTGTTGTGATAAGTTACTGTGTGTTGCCTGCTATGGTTTGACTGTTTGTGATTTTATTGAGTTTTCACAGCAATGTTAATGTTGTGACCCTATGGGCTGGTCCCAAGGGAAATAAAGGTTTAGACAGTTCTTCTTGATCCCTTTAAACGTAGCCTTGTCTCGTTATTGGAGGGAGCGGTTATAATCACACTGGGGATTGCTATGCTCTGCATGCTCCCCTGAGCTTGAATCACTTAGCTCTTTTAAGAGCTTGTTCCTGACCCGCTCTCCTTGGAGGAGAGGTCTTCACTACACAGTCCTGGATGCTGGAGGTTCATACAGGGTGGAAGGAAGAGTTCTTTCCCACACAGTCCTGGAGGACAGAAGCTGATCCAGGGTGGAAGGAAGACGGCGAGACTCCCGTCAAGATACAGCAGTTGCGGAGTCTGCGGTGGTTGTGGTGTCTGCTGCACTGCTTGGAGTCCTCAGGAAGCACTAGGAGCATCCGTCAACGCAGGGTACTCAGTCGGAGTACAAGGAGCTCCGTTACAGATCTCTATTTGGTTAAGTGTGTTCCTTTATCTAATATGAAAGAATACCATATGTATAAAAAGATTTGCTTTAATGCTAGTCCTTAGATAAATCATCTAAATAGATCTGTGAGGTGAAAAATTTTATTAGAACATCAGAAATACCTTACCAAGGAATCTCAGAGATAAGTGCCTTGTAATGGTTTATAGTAATGGCCCTGTTTAGAGAATTATTCTCACTGCTTGAGTCATCTTTTATTTCATCCTGGTATTTATTGCAAACCTATTAACTAAAAGTGTATATACAATCTAAGAAGCACTTAGCAGAAACCAGTAACATTGAGTTAGAATTCCCGCGGGCAAGTCTTATTTATCCTTGCTGTACATATTTCCACCACAATGGCCTACTCCTACTACTTAATCGTCTTTCAGTCACAGCCGAATTCATGTTCAACTGTGTGTGTATATGTGTTTATACTTGGGTTCATTGCATCTCACGTTACACTTCCATATGGGGAATTAATCATAGGATAGTCACTGACTGAAGCCAAATGTCACTGCTAACATTCAACAAATTAGTTTGTCTTTCTCTTTTGCAGAAGTGAGAGGCTTCAGATAAGCTGGGATGCCTTAAACATGTCTGTCAGAGAATAAACAAAGTCTTACTGATGTGTTGCAGACTCTTGTACCCTATGACATTAGATGCAGTTGGGGTCAGGTTGGAGAAACCAATTTGACATTAACAATTAATTGTATGTTGCTGCAATTGCCTGTGGTTGAGAGCAGCAATGCCACAAATTGATCTGGGAAAAATTAGCAAAATACACTTTAAACTGCACAGTGAGACATTGTAATGTGTCATTTAAGTCATTTAAACATTGACTTGGGCACAAAGACCAGCAAAGACCAGAGGGTCTGAGCATTCCTGTCCTATGAGGCATTGCAGTTATTTATGCTTCCGAGAACCAACCAGCACCCGAATGAACCAATATGGTCAGCATGGAAAGCATATTTAAGATTTAAGTCAGTGTAATATTTATGATATTTTTATGTTTATACAAGGCTATCTGTTCTCCTTTTAATTAGGCTCTCCCGGTAACCAACATTCTGTAAAAATAAAATGAAATTATAAATTTCATAAACTAACAGCTTTTTTAAAATAATTTCTTTGGTTTATAAAGTCTTATAATAACAGAGAAAATATAAAGGGATCTTTAGACTGCTTTCTTAGATGGAAGAAATACTTAAAGGGTATCTGCCATGATTAAAAAAAAAAAAACTTAATCTTAAATGATAAGGAATCAAATTTTATATATATATATATATATTGTACTAGCAGAATTTCTATCAAATGTTTATATTTATATAAAATCAGAGTTTAAACACAGCCCTTTCCCTCTCCTGTCAGTCAAGTCAGTCTTTATAAATATCACAGGTAGGTTGATGAGGAAATGGTTTAAATAATCTTACAATCTAGAGGAGGTGGGGGTATTGAAACACAATATCAAGGGCAGTTTGCGGCATAGCAAGTGACAGAGTAAAACAGTAGCAGATTTGAGAGTGAATATGTGGTGCAATTTTGGGCACCTATTCCTGGCTAATATGGTTAGCTCCGCCCACTTGGCTGTTTAGGACAGGAACTAAATTACTAAATAGGACCTCCCCTCTCTGAGTCCTCAGTCTTTTTTCCTGCCCTCTTGGCTGTGGACAAGGTATCTTGTAACTTAACTTACCTATATATTACTTTTTATTTTAGCTTACCTTGGCTAATGTTCATTTAGCATGGTCAGCTTCTCTCCCTTGTAAGCCCCCAGTACGTAGTCCCGAGGAAAAGCCCCTTGGGGATAGGTTATCCTTAGTAACAGGATCCCTGGTAATAGTTGCTGTGATCATATGGGTAGCAGTGTATAAAGTGGTACATTTCATCATCTACTCTAATTTGTCTGCGGTGATCCTCTGGGTAGCAGAATATTATACAGTACCAATACATGTATTTTTCCTTTTCAGCTATGATCCTTAGGGTAGCGATGTATTATGTGGAATATTGCATATTGCATATCAAGTTTGGATGTATTCAGGAAAGCATGCGTCACATATATAATCCAAGAACTTAAAAATCATCTATTTCATATGGGTGACCTGCTTTGAGCCTTGCTCTTATCTTATCCCTTTAGTTTCTATAGTTGTGTTCGCGGCTTTTCGCCATCTTGTTCGGCGTTCCCTCTATTAGTTTAGTTTTCTGTTCGACAAAATCTTGCTGTTCTGTATTTTTGCTTGTAATTTTAGATTTGTTTCTAAGGGAATGGTTCATTCGAATGTTCGTTAGTTTTCATTCTCAAGTAATGCAGTTAATTTTATTCACTTCAAATGTTTAAATTTTGGTGCATGTTTTACCCTTTTGAGCATGTGCTGTAACATAAAAACAGTTGTGGGACAGGTCTAATGGGATCAGTTTGCTCGCTTAGCCTATTTGTTCTGGTTAATTGTTTTTTCTCTGATCACTTTGATTCCTCCACTATAGGTGTCTGTGGTTATTAAGAATTATGTGGTATTTGTTTGCTCTTCATTCTTATTGGAGTGTTAGTTAAGGTAAATAAGTTTATACTTTTAATTCCTTTTCTTTTAGTTTTTTGGGAAATTCAAATGTGTTTATTTATCGTTCCTTTCTATTTTATTTTATTTTTTTAGCTGCCCTTATGTCGGTGTGTAAATCTTCTAGGAGGTCCCCTTCTAGGCTTTCAAGGTAAGCTTTTTAGCCTTTTGATTAGTTAGGGAAAAAGAGAGCAATTATGTAAATTCTTATTGGGACTTTTGCATATTTTGCAGTGTCCATGAATATGTCTCATCAGAGAAATCTGGAGGTGGTGGAAAGAGATCCCACAAATTAGAGAGGTGTATTGCCTGTGACGATAAAGCTATTGAAGGGAAAAGCCCTGCAGTTCCTGTCTGTCTGAAGCAGCAGGTACATCACTCATCGCCTTCTTCTATACATTCGTAACCTGTAAGGAGCAGAACCCTACAACTCCAGAGACCAATCTAGGATCCAAGTTCCACTACACTGGACTCTATTTTATTATCACTATCCCTACCAGGACTTTAATTTATCTATTTGTTTATTGGGGCAGTCCCATCCCTTTGTTTGTTTGCCTTTTCCATTAATTTCAAGGACACGTGAGGGAGTCCTTATTTGGGATTGCTGCCTTTTTCTTTCTTTTGATACAACTAGCGCTGACTCTATTTTCTGTTTTTGAGTTATTTCTAAAGAACCGGCCCCAGAAATGTTGAAATGGATCCAAATGGCAGTGAGCCAGTAAACGGATGAACATAGATCCCGTAAACGCCCCAGACCCTCATTTCTGAAAGAATAGGGAGAATCTGCTTCTGATATATCAAAGGAGGACATGCCATTTGAAGAGGCTGAAGAACTGTATTCCACAGATCATTCTGAATCCACAGAGGAAGAATTGGATGCTAAAACAGTAGAGAAACTGATTAAGGCAATCAGATACACTTTAAAGATAGAAGATTGGGATCAAGATAAACCTTCCACATCTAATCTTTTTCTATAATTAAGGAAAAAGAGACCATCCTTTCTGGTCCAAGATGGTCCTAAAGACCTGTTTGAAGCTAAATCAAGGAAGCCCCAGAAAAAGGTTTTAGTTTAAGGGAAAGTCTCTAGAATGTATCCCTTTACAGAGGAAGATACTTCAGCATGGAATACAGCACCTAAAGTTGACACAGCTATCATCAGACTGCCGAAATACAGTACTTCCCTTAGATGAAGTTGTTTCATTTAGAGATCCTATGGACAGCTTTGAATTCTCAGAGCTTTGAATTCTCAGCTTCCGAATTTCTTCTCCCGAACATTCCACAGATGCCCTGTCCAGCAGATGGTTCTTCAATCTTGCCTATGTTTTTCCTCCATTCCCGCTCATCGGGAGAACTAAAAAAAAAAATCAAGCTGGAACGTCTTCAGATGATTGCGATCATACCTTTCTGGCCTCACAGACCATGGTTCCCACTCCTCAAGTCCATGTCAACAGTGCCAACATGGGAACTTCAAGACTCAATCTTTTGATTCAAGGGCCAACAATCCACCCATCTCCGAACAACCTTCACTTAACGGCATGGAAACTGAATGGGACAAGGATAACAATATTTCTTGTTTTTCTCCCACAGTTTCCAACATCTTGGATTTCCTTCAAACAGGTTTTGATAGAGGTCTCAGCCTGAGTTCTTTATGAGTGCAGGTCTCAGCTTTATCTGCCCTTACTGGAACTAGGTGGACATTGGACTCCATGGTAGCCTGGTTTCTTACAGTAGTCAAAAAAGTTAAACCTATTGTTAGATCCTTTTTCCATCTTGGGACCTGCCTTTGGTATTAAAAGCTTTGTCTCTTCAACCATTTGAACCTTTAGTAGAATCTTCAAATCGTTTACATTGAAATGCCTCCTCCTTGTTGCAGTCACTTCAGACAGAAGGATTTCAGAGATTCAAGCCTTATCTGCAGAAGAACCTTATAGTGTGTTTTACCCAGATAAAGTGGTCCTATGCACAGTCCCAGAATTTCTCAACGAGGAAATTATTTTGCCTTCCTTCTATCCATCACCTTTGAATCAAGAAGAAGAGAGATGGCATACTTTGGATGTATCTAGATGTCTTTCGATTTACTTGACTAAAATAGAGAAATGGAGACAGTCTTCGAGACTTTTTCTAAACTTTGCTAGACATAACAGAGGTTTTGTAGCATCTAACTCTACATTAAGTCATTGGATTATTGGAGCAATTTTATCTGCATATCAGGTTCAAAAGGTTCTGGTCCCTTCATGCTACGAGATCCTTGGCATCATCACGAGCAGCTGCAACGAAGATTCATATTGAAAGCATTTGTAGAGCTGCTACCTGGGCATTAGCCAACACTTTTATAAGGCATTATGCTTTGGATGTAAGATCTCAGAAGACTACGGAATTTAGCAAAAACATTATTTCTTCAGTTTCATAAAATATTTTATTTTGGAATAAAAAAAAATTTGAGCATTCTAACATTGTGTTTTCTGTTTATTTATTTATTTAGGTATTTTCTGTCCCTTAAATTTAG